AAAATGAATTTGTAAACAAATATATCCAAAAGACTAAACAAACCAATTACATAAAGAGAACTTTTTACACTACGTTTTAAACTATGGTATACAGCCAAGCACTACGAATTTTCATTCTTCGTAAGTTAAATACAAAATATACTAAATCAAACAATGAGAGATTAAAACCTAATTCTAGAGCTCAAAATAATCTGAATAATATTCAAATTTCTTAAAGAAGAATGGAGTAATTTCGAATAGTTCAGAAAACAATGTGTTAATCTGACATACGTCGCATTTTTAACTATAGAGAAAATATAGTTAAAATCTTTATGTCTAGTGCATACATATTTAAAATTTCTTATTGCATAGCCAAAAACGATTTTCTTGATAGAAGCTGAAAAAGACTATAAACAATTTAAAGTCTCCGGTAGGTTTGAACTATTTTATAGCAAGCTGGATAAAATTAAAAATTATCATATACCTCTCTACATGAGAACCAGTACGAGATCTGCTTTTATTTACAATAATTCTATTGCTTCAGTTAAAACTTTATAACATGTTTTTGAACTATTTGCGGGAGAACTATTTGTGAATTCTGAAGAACTAGAATATGTACGGAATATCAAATGAAATTTTAGCTGTCTCTTCTTTTACTTCTATTTACTCTTTATGTGTACCAGAAACCAGTTTAACAAAGATTCTTGCTTAGATAAGTAGATTTGTTGTGAATTACGCATTACTTTCTTTTCATTTCTTTGATCTCCTGTTTTGCCTTTCAATTAGTAGAAGACACAGATTTATGCAAAAATCCGAAGAAAAAACCAAAAAAATTTCGGATTCCTATTTTGTGGTTTTAACTATCAAATTATTAAAGGTTTAATCATGTTCTAAATATTTGAAGAAGTTTTAATTTCTATAGAATAATAATTTGAGATATTTTATTTTTAAATCAAAGTGTATATTCTTTTTGCTTTTCTTATGCTTGATATTTCTGAGTATTTGTTTTAATTATAAATACCAGTTACAGTATATGAATGAAAATAATATTTCAGAATATTCATTTTTATTGAATTAGTCATGACATATCTTACCTTAATCGACAACTATGACAAATGAAGAGGTAGGCTTATGGGATGGTTTAAATATTCCAAATATGAAAATGTTTGACCTCTCTTTTTATTTATTCTGTAGGAGTATAATATATGTGTCGATGCTTTCAAAATCGCATTCTTTATGTGTCAATAAAATATGCATTTCTATGCAAGCCTGTAATTTATTGATAGTATTTTTTTAAAATATGTAATCTATTTAGCAAACTAATCGTTCTAAAATTAATATTTATTAAAATGCATCATAGGAATGCAAACGATAAAAACGTTTATAAAAATTTTGAACCAAGTTTTTTTAGCTTTAATTTTTGGTGTTCAAGGTTTAGAACTGAAGTAGTTAATTAAGATGGCAAATAGACATTGATCTATGTCAAGTGTCATAAGTCATACTTGTGTATGTACTTAGCCATTATTTTTGAGTTAAATACTATTATATTTTAGCAAATGTATACTAACAATATTTACTATTTATTATTAGATATCCAATATGAAATATGAATTATAATTAATTATAATTGAATATTAATTAATTATTATAGTTATTTTTGAGCAATTTATTAAATTTATTCACCAATTTGAGTTAATATATTAATTAATAATATTCTGATAATACAGAAATGGTTTCATTATTGGCATTCAATTAGAATTATTTATTGGTATGAAGCAGGATATTGTTTGGCTGTATTTTTTGTTCCTTATAATATCACCGATGATGATTCACGTTCACTAAGACGAGTAGAATTGTAGAAGGTATGCGAAAATTATATCGAGAATATTTTAGGGATTTGGTATTTTATAAATAGCAGCAAGAGTATAAAAACACAAATAAAAAGCAACAACATTGCGAAATATTAAACGAGAACAAAAGAAAAAAATTCAAATTCAAAGCTTCCAAAAATAAAGAAGGCTTTCAAAACTATAAAAAAAATACGGCGCGGAAAGAACAAAATAAAACAAAATAATGGAGCATGACAGCAAATCTGCTTAAACCTAGCATGTACTTAGTTGTAGGAGAAACAAGATCTTTAAAATCTTAAAAAATATTACGAGGTCTGAGGCAAAACTAAACATAAAGAAACAAACTAACTGATAAGATAAAGAAGTTAGAATAAAAAATTGGAGATTATTAGAAACTTCTTCAATAATAATAAAAACAATACAATACAGGAACGCGCATAGGAACAGCGCACAGGATTAACGAAGACAAAGCATTCATCAAAAGTAAAACATACAAATACTAAATAATTTATGTAGTTTTTGTTATGACTGTTTTGTTTTTGCGCTTATTTACCGAAAATTTGAACCAATGACAGTAATTTTAGCCTGAAAATATTCCATTTTACTCACTTCTAGTGCAGCCTTTAAAAATAAATATATTTCTACATGTATTTATTAATGCAGATTAAGAGTAGTCGAATTAATATCAAAAATGTTTAATTTTTGTATAGACAATTTTTGTAAAGACATTAATAGAGAGGCAGTGAGTTAAAAAACATACCGTTGCTTATTTGCAGTGAGAATAATTATCTGTGAACATGTAATGTATATAAATTGGATAAAATGTGTTCATCTTGGATTAATAATATTGTTGTTAACACCCTTAACTGTGAAGCTAAACAAAGCTTCGTCAACGTATTGTAATAATTAAATGTAGGTGAAATTAATCAAAGTAGCGCATAGAAGTTCCCACATTGACTTCAACTATCGTACTAGGCTTTCAACATTACATGACGATCCTGCACTTATAGAAAGACTCTTTAGACCTGCCCAGAAATAGAAGAAGAAGAAGAAGAAGAGGAAAGATGGAAAATGAAAATCCATAAATTTCACAACCAATTCCCATAAAATGGAAAACAGTCAAAGTAACGAAAAGATTGCTTCGCACCAACTATTATTATCGTTGGATGGGCAATGTATTGGCAATGAGGAGACAACCTCGACGCCACATCCGCCAAGGGATTTTTTTACAAAAAAAATCTCTTGGCAAATTGGACGCACTAAATTCCAAACCCAACACATTAGTAAATAGACAAAGACATTATGTGACCAAGTATGTTAGTGATTTTTTGTTAAATACGGTACAGTCGGCATCATTTTAGGTTAACTTTGAATAACAATTAGGGATGTAATAATGTTTGTTAATTATGACTACTTTTTTTTCGAGGGAAAACCTCGAGTAAATTTAAAAAGTACATTTTCTTATGCATAAATATGTATATATGCGTATACCAGTTTTTTAATAAAAATTAGTTCATACATTCACAATTTCTACTTCCAATTTATCGATTACACCATTATTTTAACGATATTCTCGTATATACTGGTATTATTATGTAACCAACAGAATTCAGACTTATTGAAAACAAAATTGCGAAGAGGGGAGAAAATAGTAAAAGGTGCAAATATAATTAAGAAAAAGGAATGAGAAACATAATAATGACACTGTGAGAAAGAAACGTGTTCCAAAACAGCTGAGAATCTTATTCCACACATGGGAATCATCAAAAATTAGACTTAAGCATTTCTAGGTGCAACTGAATTATAAATATGATAAAGTTAGCGAAACAAGTAAATAGACCATCAATAAATTTCGGAAGGAGTTAAGAGGACCTTATGGCAAAAGTAACAATTGCACAAACAAATGGAGACAGGGAAGCGGAACACGTGTTAGCAAAAGTAAAAAAATTGGAATAAGCTTGTTTACAAATAAATTAAGAGATGACAGGATCAAGACAATAAAAAAAAAACCAGAAATTTTACCAATATAGTAGAGGCGATTACAAGAGTTAAGGACGAAGAATAACGTGCCTAAACAGACAATTCAGAAATGTATCTATCATATGGACAAAACGTATAAAGGTAGGAAAAGAAATACAACACACGAATATAAAAACCACTTCGAAAGTAGGAAAGAAGAATATAACAATAATTACAGAAAAAATGAAAACGTAAGACAACAATATCATAATGGAAGCAGATTCCAAAGAAACCAACGAAAATGGCAAGCTCAACGTGGAATAGACAGTAATCAATGGTACAAGTAGAGAAACCACAAAAAAATACAAATTCAGTGCCTGGAGTAGATTTTTTCGTGGCACCACAAATAAAAGCAAATAATGTCGAAATAAACGGATTGAATTATGTACATTTATGTAAACTACAAAGGAAACATTAATAAACATATGATTAAAAAAAATCTTGCAAAGCTATAACTAAACGAAATCGAATTGTAGGCAGTATTTTTACAAGAGGTACACTATTGTCTGACCTTGAAATATTACATGAATCAAAAAAGAGTTAATTCTGACAAGAATTTGCAGTTGTCAGAAAATTGGAAAAATATGAGACGTATTTGCTCGACTTAACCAAGCGATTAGACAATAAAAACCTTATCTTTAGTCTAATAACATTAACAATATTGGCATACTAGCAATTATACCAATTATTCGTAATAATTTCTGTGTTGTTTGGCCAAATTACTAGAAAATACAAGAATTTTTATTGATTTATTTCAAAACCGAATATGTAGCATGTTTTAGAAAATACAAAGCTCTAATCTACTAATAAGTTTCTAGTTATTTAAAATGTCCAGACTTTAAAATAATTAAAGTAAATATATTCCTACAGAAAGAAGAAAATAGAGTTGACAGAGTAAGTCAATTGTTATGATTGGAAGGAAAAAGTCTTAACAAAATAGATATATTATTAATTACTATTTAAATGAGAATAAGTTACAATTAGAGGTTAGAATACGTTTATTGGCGTTTTAAGTTCCACTTCCGAAATTGTTCTCAAAATAGAAACATTAGTAACTTAAACAAATTTTGTTTTATTAACAACAAAAAAAAAATATATAATGTATAAAATTGTAAAATTGTAACACTGTTATTAATTCTTTAAAGAACTTACCCACTTCTTCATTTTAAAGATATACTGCATTCACTCTTTGTCACGAACTGCGTGAACTCTTCTGTGATACATTGCTTAAATATCGGCAAAATGCAGATTAGTATAAGTCTTGGGATGAGCCACTATTCATCAAGATATCAATGTCATTGTCTATAGAAATGTTACTTCCGTTTTGATCATAATTGATTTCATTTTATCTTCAGTTGTATGTATTGTATTCAAAAGATTCTAAAAATGATTAGATTGAAGATTTTATTTAACACTGCCGATTCGTCCTTGCGAAAAATTGTTTAGTAATAGGGCAAATAATTTAAATTTTGCTAAACGGAGCGTGAATATCATCACCTTTTTAATTTATAAACTGGGCAAAAATTAATGTTATGTAACAACACTTTGTCTATAATACAGGTGTTTATCAGTATCGGATTATTATTGCTTAAACTTTCGCCGTTTGCCATTTTCCATTTTTTAAGAAAACTTTATTTTTTTATTGTTTATTATTTTATAGTGTAACATATACAAAAACAAATTATATTACACTATTGAAAGTTAAAACTGTAATGATACAAAAGATAAACAAAATTAATTTTCTAATTTTCTAACTATAGAATACACGATTTGTGTGAAAAATTTAGACATTTCAGCCTTAACATATATTGAGAAAGCTTTGAAGGCTGTTTTATTAATAATACAGTTTAACTGTTTTTGTTTTAAGATTATTTTCAATCTATATTTTATATGACAATTCCATACATTGCTTTGGTAGGGCTGTAGTATTTGGTTTATTAAAAAATCCTTCAAAAAAAAAGCATAAGGAACAACAGGTACAGTTTGTAGTAGTGTACTGTTTCAGTTACTTTGTTTGCTACAAACGTTTTCTATATTCTTGGTTGTCCTTGTATCCACCTAATGGGTCATATATTTTTGCTATTTCTGATAACACCATCGTCTTTGTCATTTTGTTATGTTTGGTTATCGTTATTTTAAATTTAATTATATTTTTAACCGGCAACTAGTGAATTTCCAACGTTTTATGTGTATCTTCCTTGCCTAAATCCTTCCTTTGAGATCAAAGTTTTTCAGCTCCACCGGTATGTTTTTCGTGAAATCTTGGTTATTATTAAGCCATTTTATTAATACAAAACCGCTTTTTTTAATATTTCTATTCTTTCTCGTTGAGAATCGGCCCACTTTTCTGATCTAGCAATTCGTCGTCTACATACATGTTGTGTTTAACAATTGCTGCGGCTAGTGGATATATTAATTTCTCCTCTTTAGGTAATTCCTGTATCGTCCTTAATGCAAGGTATGGCGTTGCTGTCGAATCATATGTTACTGATAATCACTGATACTCCTTTATCGTTTCTTTTACAGACTGCCTTTATATCTTCTGTCAAACTTTCTCCTCTTCAGCTATCGTTATTGGCCCAAACATTTTCTCTATTCATTTTCTCTGCTATGTGTAGCAATTAATTTTGCTGTCTATTACATTCTAAACATTTATCATGTTGAGAGAAATGAGAAAAATATCATGGTACTTTTTTGTGTAGTAGGCATTTATCGCACCATTGCTTTTCCTTTAAAATGTTGTTTCTTTTACGTATTTGTAGACTTAGAAGCTTCGTACTGTCCTTCGTCGTTCTTCGTGATATACCAAACAGATTATCGTTTTTTTTTTGCCCGTTGTCTGTGGTCTGCCCTTTTCCTGTAATTTTTGAATACGAACGAGTTTGGCCTGTTTACCTGCAACGTTGCCAAGATGAGTGTAATTTTTCAGGCGACAATAGTTCGTAGGTAGTGGTTGTTATTGGCATAGTAGACACTGTTTTTTCTAAACAATTGAGATAGAAAGTAGTGTCTAGCACTAAACAAAAAAAAACTAAAAAAATACTAATAAAAATGAAAATAACAGTTAAATGGATAGTCCGAACAACGAATAAATTAGTGCCATGAGTTCACAATTTTGTGTTACAAGAAATAATATAAATTGTGAATAATTATATTCAATATGCTGTAATCCAAACTGCATCAAACCTACTCATCCCAAAGTAGCAAAATCCGATGCATGGAGCAGGACAGTATAAACTTCAAGGTACGATCTATCAAACTTTTTACGATCCTTCATTATCAGTACAATATTTACAACCTTATGTACAACCGTCAATACATACCTGGAGTCCGGAACGCCAACGGCATGACAAACCATAGTCAAGAAGGAAAAGCTTTTATATTTTAACACTACATTGATGTCATGCTAACTTCTGAGGCACTTTTGACAAATAAAAGTTATTTTTAGGTTTAAAATTATCTAACCTACTCCACTATACATCCACAAGGCAAAGCTCATGGTAAAGTGCAATAATAGTAGGAAATAGTATTAGGCACCAAGCAATAGACAAAACTAGAGAATTAAATGCACAGACCACCTCGCTATCAATAGAAGACTGGCATGGACAAATGATCTTATCTGCTGTTTATTTCCCACCAAACAAACGAATAAAGGAAATGATTTCACCACCTACTTTATAACACCTACCAAAATGTATCGCCGCTGGTGACTTTAATTCCAAGCATTATCGATGGAGTCAAAGATTATAACCACACATGACCCAACTCTACTCAAAAGTACCGTGATAAATAAGCACTCTATCCACAGGTCAACCTACTTACTGGCCAATTGACAGGTAAAAAATGCCGGATCTCGTTGACTTCGATGTCAAAAAAAGCATCGTTTCTAATTACTTAAATATATAACCATCTTTATTTGTCTTCTGATTACTCTCGCTATTTCATAAAGTGTGAAAGCAGAGGTATGCCACATCACCAGACCGCCAACATTAATAAACAGATTGACAAATTGTAACATATTAAATGAATTGGTCTCTGAGTCAATCAACTTATACCTCTCATGTAAATCCATAAAGGATGTCCACTATGCAATACAGTACCTAACTACTTTAATTAAAAAAACTGCCTGGGCTGCTACTTCAGAAAGCTCCAATAAAGCAAAACCAGTCTCATATTTGGATTATACAAACAATATGATTCCTGAAAAAATGAAACTGAGAATAAAATGACAAAATACTCGAGCCCCAATAAAAACAACAAATCTAGATGAAGCTACACGACAACACTACAAGAAGCACTAAATAAATATAAGTACTCTAGTATTAAGCATTTTTTTGTAAAACCTTTCTGTAAATGAAAATAAAGGCTACTTACTATGGAAACTGACAAGAAAACAATTATGTTTGGTATGGATAAATGGAATTTAACTCTGAAGAACTACCAGTAATATAAATATTCAAAGACTACAAAGTTTTCAATCCAAATTTTTTCATGATATCTGCAATTCCCCACGGTAGGTGCCAAACTATGTTATTCATCGTGACCTGAATATTAAAACTGTTAAAGAAACATCCGTCATTCGGTGTAAAAACTACTTCAAGAGACTATCATCTCATCAAAATCCACTCGCCAATGACTTCTTCACCCCACCACTGCTTATAAGACTAAAATGGTTAAATCTTCTAGATCTCTTCACCACAAGGAACTAGTTAAAACTTACACATTTAAATAAAAGTCAGAAATTTGGTAGCTCAAACTCTTTTATTTTTTTATCTCTTTTAAAAATACTGTCTATTGTTATATTGATAACACATTAAAATAAATAAAGAAATTGTATTTAAAGAAAATTCGAACATTTGAAATTCCTGCGTGGTGTGTCCCACTTTAACATGTTTATCCTTACTATTACACCTAATCCACTAATCGCCTCTTAGCATTTGTCGAGACTCTTGCATATTTCTAATATTTTTAGTTCATTTACTGATGCTTCTTTTCTCTATGTAGCTTTAAGTATATGATTTATTAATAGAAATAAATATATCCTTGGATTTTGATACATATCGTGTAACATTTTCCAGGCAGCACTTTAATTTGCTTCTGTGGTGTGTAAATGGTTTTTTCTCTCTTATATTCTTCGGGTTATTCTTCTCTAATCTTTTATTTTCTCTTATGATCTACCGCACCCTTTTTTCTCATTACGTAAAATTTTCTATTTTCACTTCTTCTAGGACATCCTTTTCATTCTTTAGGTTAGTTCCATTAATACTGCGTCTATTTTTTGTATCTCTACAATTAAATCCCTTTGTACGTCTTTATCATTTTCATCATCTTCCAATAATTAGTGAAGCTGCTTCATCCTGATTTTTTTTCTCTAATTTTTCTCGAAGACTTTTATAAAACTTAATATTAAATTGTATTAAATTATTTTTATTCCTTCTAACCTTCCCTGTATTTCTTTTTTACTTATTCGTAAAATTTAAAGGTAAAATATTTTTCATCTTTGGAACCACTTCGTTGGATCCTGTTTCCAAGCGAATATTTAAGTATTCTCTCGTTCTTGTTTTTTTTTTGAAACTTTTTAACGTTTCTCACAAACAGCCCTTATTTCTTTTGCTGCAGTTATAAATTTTGCGTTTTGCTATGTTCCTGTTAAACTTGAACTATAACGTAACTCCAATGGTAAAGAATTTAAAAGTGCTTTAAACACAATTTTAAATGGTATAAAATACAGAAAAAACAAAAAATGAAACAATAAAACACTGAAAACCTTTGTTTTCAAAGTTCCATAAAATTTATTTTAATCTTTTATCACTACAGCTGTTTCGATTGATTGCCTTTCTCAAGTGATCTATTTTTGGCATGCGATTATATTTTATAGTCTCTTAATGAAATAGGTTGAGGAGGAGAGAACTGTTTGTCTCAAGTTGGTCATTCAGAATTATATCTGTGTTTTTTAATTTGTTGATTTCCATAGATTCTAACAAAGATAGCTTAAGACCTTTATTTTGAATATGAAGAATTTTAAATTCGTCATTAAAAGAATGATTGTGATCTAGAAGGTGAAGTACGTAAGTTCAGTAAGTAAGTGCGATTCTACGAGTAGATCACAATCATTCTTTTAATGACGAATTTAAAATTCTTCACATTCAAAATAAAGGCCTTAAGCTATCCTTGTTAGAATC